CTTTCTCAGGGGCGACTGACCTTCTTGGGTCACCCCATCAAGAACTGCTAAGCACCAGCCATGATATCATCTGCTAGCTACGTGAATAAGTTATCTGACTGAATGATTTCTTCCCTGCTAGGAAGTGAACTTAGTGAGGCACAATTCTCTTGTGTATTTTATCACTGTATCCCAAGGATAGCCATGCATAGAGTAGGTGCTCAGTAAACACTACAGAATGAGTGCATGGGCCCCTAAATAAGCAATGTGTCTGAGGCCAAGCTGGACCAATCCTGTAACTCCCTTTCCAGCATCACACTGCAGACGCCACACGTTGTGAAACCAGGTCCAAAGCATCTCATATCTGAGCAGGGCAAGAGCTGTTCACACTCACAGGAGTCTGCTTCCCCGACCACAGGGACAGATGGGCCCAGGTGGGGAGGGACAGGAGGAAGCAGCTCACCTAGGCAGACAGATTCCCTGGGAGCCAGCCCTCTACATCTCCTATCTTCTCCCAGGCCGTGTCTGCCTGGCTACTGCGCATGCTCATCACTGGTTCCCAGGTCACGGAGCGGCAAGTTCCATGGAGCATTCCTTAAAAACTCAGCCTAGCTGGGGCACGGTGGTGGATGCCTGTAATCCCAGCAGGGAGGCCAAGATGGGAGGATCAAAAGTTCCAGGCCAACCTGGGCAACGTAGAAAGTTAGCAAGACCCTGACTCAAAAAGTAAAAACCCAAACCAAAAACACAAGCCTTCAGGGCCTCCCCCTTCGGATTCACAAGGCCTGGGACTGGGACTGAGAATAGACAACATGAACAAGCTTCTGGGGGCTCTTCCTGGGACCCTACTTGAAGAACCACTGGGCCATGGGAATTTCACGCAGTAGAACCGCTGAGTTCACGGCTGTAGGTGGCTCGGGCTGGGTCCCGATTAGGGCCCAGAGCACAGCGTGGTGCATTCCTTCATTAAGCTCCACCTGCAGGGGGCTCCCCAGAGTCACTATCCCCCTTGTAAAGAAGAAGGTGACATCCACTGGCACCCGATGGCCTTCTGCCGGCCAGGAGCCCAGGGAGTACTGCGGTGAGTACTGCAGTGCTGCCCGCTGCGACGGGGGACAGTTTACTGACCTGGGGCTGATCTTGCTGTCAGCAAGGGCCAGGGCTCAGAACTCCCCCAGCACACTGAAGCCTGCAGCCAGGGGCTCGCTGAAGGACCCTCAGGCCCTGCGTCCCGTGGGATGGCTCAGGGTGCCTGCGTCCGAGGCTGGGGACGACGGGGTGAAGTGCAGCCCGGGTCTGCACCACGCTGCCAGGTTTGCGTCTGCAGAAGGCAGCTGATGCAGAGGTGCTGAGCCAGACCCGCGCAGCCTCCCTGCCAGCTGCGAAGCACGCTCCCCTTCTCTCCTGCTTTGCTTTTATTATGTTTCACAAAAGCGCGAGTCTAGCGGCAACAGATCGCATTTTACCACGTGTATTTCATTTCAGGAGCTCATAAGCACGTCGGGGCTGAGGTTTTACAGCTTTCCACCACTACCTCAGGAGGCAGATCCCTCCTCTGCCATCCAATGCCCTCGGCCCTTCCCCTGTGGGCAACGGGTGGACGGACGGGGGGGACGAAGGGCCGTTGCCCAGGATTGGGGCCCTGTGAGGAAGGAGGCGGCTGTGCTCTGACCACACCTCACGCCACAGAGCGTACCTCTCCCACCCTGACAGGCATCTGCGAAAGGGCAGTGACACCCCGGGTCACGGCCCACGTGGCCCAGCTAAGTCCAGCTGCGGATGTGTGTGATTTCGCCTGCACACGATTCCAGAACACTACAGAACAGCCCCTGCTCGGAAGCCCAAAGCAAGGCAGTTTGGAGGTGGGCTGCCGGAGGGAGCATCTATCACTGGAGACCCTTGTGGCCCATGGGCCTCCACCCTGATACCCTGGCAGGCTGGTCAGGCCCAGGTGCCTCCTCATGGGCCCTGGAAGAGGGCAGAGTGAACACACACTCTGGTTTGTTTTGGGGAGCTGGGCCCAGCACACATGAGGGGCATAGCAGGTTAGCATACCTGTCTGCTACCCGGGCCACTTCTGAGCCGGCTGGTGAGGTGGCCCAGCTCCACGACAAATGCTGTTCCTTCCTTTGCACCACCTGGCTGCATGCAGGGCCCTGGAGAGGGCCTCTGAGGCCACGGAGCCTTTAGGGTCCCCGGGAGTCCCCTGTCTGATCACAGCCCCCCTCCTGTTTCCTGCCCAGCCAAGCTGAGCCCCTGCAGTATAAGGGATGTGGATACCCTAAGTACAGCAGGGTAGAGGTCTGAAGGAGGAGAGGGCTCCAAATACCACAGATGGCATCAGGCCACCACAACATGGCATCAGGCGTGGTGGCCAGTGTTTTGCGTCGTCCTTACTACCCTACATTCCCCAGGGACTCGATCAAACACTAAAGTAGGTGTGGCTATGGAGGCATTTAAAAAAGTAACAGCTGCCATCAGCTGTCCTTGACCAAAGGCGACTGTGGAGAGCCTCGCCTAATCAGTGGAAAGCCTACCCTGAGGTTTTCCAGAGAAGGAGAGACTCTGCCGGTGGACGTCAGCTGCACCAGCCCCCCAGACACGTGAGTCACTTCCTTAAAATAAAGCTCCTGGAACAGTCCAGTGTCCCTTAGGTTCTGCGGAACCTATCAGACACACCAGGCCAGTGCCCCCGAGACCCAGCAGAATACTAAGCTCTGGCAGACTCAGGCCTGGTCCCTGAAATCTCTTCTGCAGAAGGGACCGACAGCTGCCAAGGCCTGTGCTCCAGGACAATCTGTCACCAGGTGCCTCAGCACAACTTTATGTCACACTTAGCCACCAAAGTCCCCAAGGACCTTGCTTAAAGGCAGGTGGGGTAAACCTTGCTCCCAAGCCACCTCCTGCTACACTGATGCCCATGGATGGACCGGACGCTGAGCAGGGCTCCCACATGGCACTGCCCACCGGGACCTCAGATACAGTGGGTGGGAGGGTTCTGAGCAGTGCAGGAATTCCAGGAGGCCTGGGACAGTTCCAAGACCCCATAGTTCAGGGCCAGGGATATAGCTCAGTGGCATAAGCACCTGCCTGGCAAGCACAGGTCCGGAGTTGAATTCCTGGTACAAAAAAAAGAGAGAGACCCCACTGTTCCCTTCCCAGAAGATGTCCAGTGTCCCTAGGACCTGTCCTAGGGCTCTGAGGAAACCGTGGCTGGAAAGCCTGCCCCAGGCCCGGACATCACTACCAACCAAAGGCATCACTGGGCAGCACTGGTGACACTGGGTGACACTGGGTGACACTGGAGAGCAGCGCTGGCCCTTCTCCCACACGTGGAACGTGGATTGCTTCGGATGGTCTAAGCTCAGGAGTGGTGCTGGCAGAACAAGGGACCCTTTATTTCTGCAGTGCTCCTCTCGCCTTCTCACTGTCCGCTTTGCCTAAGTCCAGGGGGTTCTTCCTACACCTGGCTGGGGACAAGCGCAGGGCACGTGCGCGCTCCCTGCCAGGAGACAGAAGCCCTGAGGGTTCCTCGCTGCGCTCAGTCCCACCCTCTGACTCACAGCTCGCAGCGCACTTCCGGGAGAAAGAAATTCACTCTGGAGAAGAAAAGCTGGAGAACTCCCTCTTGCTCTCAGCTTCCCCCATGGCAACGCTGGGGGTTTGGGGTCACAGGACTCAGCCGCAGTCAGATCCAGGCGCCATTTCAGGCTTGATGGTGGACAGGATCGGACAGGATTGGCGGTAAGCTGCGTACTTGAATTATTTACTCTCCGTGGCTTTGGAAGCCCCGAGATGCGCCTGCCTTGAGTTCGCCTCTAGGACTGGCGGCAGGGCACTCGGCACAGAGTGAGGTCTGTCAGCGAGACGCCCGGAAGAGACGAGATCCTCGGAGTCCAGGACAGCCTGGCAACCCCCCTCTGCCTGTGACACGTGGTCGGCCCCTGCGAGGGGCTGTGACTCGGCCTCTTCCCTAGCACCCCACTAGCAGGTGCTGTATCGGTCTCCAGCACCCCTAAACACAGCACTCAAACATCTTAGCATTAAACACAGACATAACAGAAGCCCTATCACGGCCTCCAAGTGGAAAATGTTCTAGGCGTGGAGTCCAACACCCTCTGGTTTACACCCAAACTCTGAGTCCATTTAAGTGGTGATTCTGAGTTAGCCAGAAAGTGCCCGATAGTTGGTTTCCTCGTCCATCACACACGGACAGGCATTCCTCCTGGGCTGCTTAGGACTCTGAAGGGGTGCTGGAGGTAAACAGCTTTATACCCCATAAAGCTTGAGAAGCTGCAATCCGTCCCTGTGACTTTAGGTAGACACGCAGGCTGTGCAAGAGAAGAAGTCATCCTTTCCTTACCCCGAGATGTAGTGCTCTTTTGCCTGGCTATACACAGGACAGTACACCATCACAGAGATTAACCTTACCTTTCACAACTACCTTCTACGCTGCTTTGTGCTCAGAAGAGTTCTGCATTAGATAACGCATTGTAAGTGACAGCTACAGTTTTGTGACAAACTTAAGAAAATAATTATTGGAGACGGAGCATGGCGTGAAGTATGAATTGAGAAGAAGGGTGAGAGAAGGGGACAGCAGGGAAGGACGGTCGGGCTGGAGACAGATGGGGACGGCAGTCACATGTTCGGACCTGCGCTACGCTGTCTGGCCACTGGCAGACACGCTCTCTCCTCCGAAACTGAAGACAGCGTTATTTTCCAGGCAATAAAACCTGAGAGATGAACTGTGCCATTCGGGGGCAGGGGTGAGGGCCCCCTCCCAGTGCCTGGGAAATAGAACTGAACACCACATCTTCAAAGAAGAGTTCTTGGTAAATACCCTCCTGGTTTTACAACCTTTATCCGCACCACAAACCACGGGTGAGCACATTTTCTGTGCGCCCTCGGGCTCCCGGCCAATGGGCTCCACTTCTGGGCCCATCTGGGACAACGGAGACTGATCCCTCGTGGCCTTTCCAGGACACAGAGACAGAAACGGTGGGGCACAGCAGTCACCTTACCTGGAGCCGTTCACCTGGCTAGGGTGGCATTCCATCTTGATGGTGACCCTGGTGGGGGGTTGAGACAGCCAGTCCTGCTGAGGGACCCGCGGGCTCATCTTGGAAGTCTGGCCATAGTCGCCGGAGGAGGACGCGGTCATCTCTGTCTTAGCCAGGTGCGGCGTTCCGTAGGCACACTCAAATAATGACTGGTCCTCGCTCACAACTGATAGCGCTTCCTGAATGCCCAAAGAAACACATATTCAGGACACACCAAAGGGTAGCCATGTCTCACCAAGCTGCTGATTTCAGATCAGAGTCATTCCTCACGGGGACAATTGCATTATAGGTAGAGTGTATGGATTCCATTTCTACTTTCCAGAAGAAAGAGCCCCTTGTTTTCTCCCCTTAGAGGCTGGAAGCACTGGAACTGGCCAGCCCTGGACCCTGGAGGCCGGTTTCAGGGCATCCTGGATGTGCTGGCAGCGGGGCAGATAATACCTACTTTCATCTAAACTCAAGGAAGTTGAATTTCAAAGGTCTTAGAAGACATCCAATTATTTGTGTCATTACTTGACAAATGCAATCTATAATTCAAGCAGACAGGATACAGAATGATCATGAAGATTAAAAAAAGACATGTGAAGGCTAACACCTAAACATCTGGCACAGCTGCCACATTCCCAGGAGACTCGGAGGAAGCAGTCCTCTAAGGAGAGTCAGGGGAGATGGGAACACCAAAGGACAGCCAGACAAAGATCATGCTTTTTCTGCTCCGTGGGATTAGCTTAAAGTTCCAAGGGGCACTTCCATGATGGCAAGCATCTGGATGATAAATGAATCACAAAAAAGCAAAAGCTGTGAATTATCCAGATGCCTCCAAATACCGTACTAGGAAGTTTAAAATATCTGGATCAGTGAATAGCTCTTTTTCTCCCCCAACTTTCTATTAATATCTTTGCTTTTCTGCATGATTTGGTGAAAAGAAATAGAAATTTGTCACAGTCGGATCACTTTTTTCCTGTGGTTTGAAATCAAACAAGTGATTAGCCTACGGGGGTGTTTATATTCTGCAGCCGAATCAGCGCAGGCAAATTTGATTTGGAAATTTCAGCTACTTGAATGATACGGCAAATACACGGAGTGATTGTGAGACGATCTGATTTTGGTTTCTAGAACAGAAAAAAAAAATCCATGCAACAGCTTGTTTTTATTTCAGTTCTTTGGCTATCAACTCATGAGAAGCAAATGCTAATTGAGCCACAGATTATGCTTTAGAAAACGGAACTTTGGAGCCAGCTCGGGGACGGAGGGGAGACCATGGAGACCATCTCAACTCCATGGTCTGGAAAGGCTCACCCCTAACCCTAAATGATCCGGCCCCAAGATCAACCAGGGAGTGAGTGAAGGAACAGATTTCTGTGTCATCATGTTCCCCTTCCTGTCTCCACAGTCCATGATGCCCTTCCCATATTTCTTAAGTGTGGGAAATATGTTTAAATAGCTGTTATGCTAGATGTCAGCCCTAAGCTACATGCACTCATAGATGGGCCTTTTGAATGGCCATCGGATTATGGGGGCTTATCACTGACTTGCTTTTAGGAGATGGGATCAGGTTGGAAGAGGTGGGTCACTGGGGCGTGGCCTGCAAGGGTGCATCTCAGTCCCCGGCTCCTCCTTCGACCCTCTCTGCTCCCTGTCCTCCATGCGGTGAGCAGCTCTCCTCCACCAGGCCCCTCTGCCATGCTGTGCTGCCTTGCAGCCTGCTGACCATGGACTGGACCTCTACAAAGTGTGAGCCAAATAAACCCTTCTTCCTTTAAACTGGGGGTGTTAGGTATTATGTGTCAGCATCAAGAACGTTGACTACACCATTAGCACTGCCTTCTTGTTTGTGGGATTGACCTTTACATAAATAAGGATGCTCTCCATTGGTATTAGTCTTACGCAATAGCCAGTCAGAGACAGAGACCTCCATTCCCAGAAATAGTGGAAGCATGCAGTTTTATAGAGTTTTCCTCCCAAGTCCATGTGTATTTGGCCACTCTCTTCCCCACCCACAAGAACCAGGCTTTTTCCCAGCTTCCTGAGGTCACACCCCTCCTGGCCAGATGCGCTGTCTATAAGTCAGGCAGTAGGAAGAGCCAATGGGAATGGACTCTGTTCTCTGGCCTGAGTGGTGCCCAGGGTCTATACCTGGGTAACACCCTACCATTGACTCTGTTGGGATCCCTAGGATCAAAGCCCTGAGACACTCTGGGGAAAATCAAAGTGGGCGTTCTGAGCAGGAATGCAACAAGGCTGCATCGTGCCAGCCAGAGAACCAGAGTCAGGTACAAGAGGCACAGAAGCACCTGAGAGATGCTACCCAGTCACATACGCCAAAAGAAGTACTGTGAGGGAGCAGCCAGAGCGGAGGGCAGTGAGGGAGAATCCGAACCTCATAGCTCTCTCTCTCCTGGGCACACCGCGGGAGAGAATGCAGGGGCTCTGAACTCACAGTCGTGGGCTGCGAAGGGAAATCACACGGCATGATGGCGCGTGGCTGTAATCTGAGCGCTCCAGGAGGCTGATTCAAGAGGCTCAAATGCTCAACATATCCTGGGCAACTTAGCAACTCACTAAGACCCTGGCTCAAAAATAAAACATAAAAAAGGGCTGGGAAGGCAGCTCAGTGTGAAGACCGGGGTTCAATCCCCACTGTGACAAAAACTAAAAATGAAGTCGAATCAGCACCACTGACTTAGTGAAGTCATGCTAATTAAACAGGCAGAAATGACAGCTCCTTAAGTAATTTCGCTGAGCAGCTCCTCCCACCCCACAGCAGTGCTGGTAGCCGGCGTTACAAACTCAGAACAGCAAACAAGGCGGACAGGACAGCTGCTCTTTTCTTCTCACCGGGTCTGCAGACTCCAGCAAGGCCCAAAGCAGGACAACAGCTATGTAATGTTAGCTTTGGCTCTCCCATGACGAGAAACATGAATAAATGGTGATTTATATCAGAAACTGGCAAAAACAGGTTGCATGTAGAGGATGGGCAGCATTTGAAGTTACAAATTAGAAAGACAAGGGTTTCAACGTCCACAACCAAAAAGCAAGAACTTTTAAATATCAGCATGTCCCCGGATAACATATTCTTACAAACATAGGCACCAGCCAGATAAATATAGCATGAGATCGAAAAAGAAAAAGACCAAAATATTCTAAGTAAAATGAGGCTTAAGTGTGTGTTTCTGGGGGAAGGAATCCATTCTCACATCTGGCAAAGCATTATTTCAGCTCATGGTTTTCTAAAGAAAGCAATCAAAGTTAACTGAGATTGATTTGAAAGGGAAAAAAGGACCTTAACAAACGCTAAGATAACAAGGCCCAAATCCCATTTTCACATCTTAAAATTCGCCTCCAAGTTAATATTGCAGGAAAATGAGAAAAGGGACCTAATTCAGAATATCAAAAGCAACCACTTCATCGCTTTGGTTTATCAGAGGGGAAAGATTTAAAAAGTGAGGACACTTCTGGGTAAATTAAGTCAGCCAGAAACCTAGAATTGAGTACAGCTGAGGAAAAGGACACAAAATACCACACACACACACACACACACACACACACACACAGACATAGACACAGACACACATGGCAGTGCGCCATGTTTTAACAATAGGGGAGGTAACAAAAAAGCGAGGTGTAATTTTCAGAGACGTATTTCAACAAGAACAATCAGTCAAGTTGACTGCTAGAAGAAAACCGAGCTACGGACCCTCAGCACTCCTTTGGCCCCCCACACCTGACTCGGTGACCCACAGGTCTCGGCATCCCATTTTGAAGTTTAAATGACAGAGCAACATCTCAGATCTCTCTGCCTGGCAGTCCTAGGGCTTCAAAGGGGAGAGAGTGTCTCTGTAACCCCGTGGGAGTGAAACCAGACCGAAGTGTGCATGCAGGCCAGGAACTGGAAACACCTGGGGTCTGTGACTGCGGCCCTGGGACGCCTTCCCGGCTGCAGTCGACGATGTCCCTGTTTCTCTGTCCCCTGGTTCCCTTCCCCTGCCACTTGGCCAGCCCACCTGCCTGTCTACCTGCCTACCTGCCTAGGTGTGTGTGGATGCCTTCCTGAACCCAGAGTGGTCACTGTCAGAACCCTAGGCCAGCCAAAATCCTTTTTCTTTGGTTGCTTTACAACCTAGACTTCACAAACCGTCAAAACCTGGCAGAAATATGGCATAATAATTTAATACGCCCGCCTCCATGTTGCTATAAAAAGACTAAACTTTAGACTGGTGTGCGCCAGTGTGCGGGGGTGGTGGGAGGCGTTTTTCTGCAGCTCCAGGAAAGTTGGGGTGGTCTGATGTGGCAAGTAGCTGCCGCCCAAGACTGTTTTTTATGAATTTATGAAAAACACATAAATTCCAAGCAAATTCCCCTACATGAAAGGTACTGTTGGGTTAGTACTCCAGTGTTTATGACTTCATTTGACTACTGAAAGCTCTGATCATTTACAAGGACCATTCCTCTGAATCTTCCTCATGGAAGAACAGCTAATGTATAGTTCTGGAAGGGGGAAGATCCAGCTACATTACATTCCATACCACACTATACTTAGATTGAAAAAAGCATTAAAACAGATAAATAAAATGTGGAACACACTTCATACACACACTGATGCTTCCTGCAGATTTCAGGGATCCTCATCCCTTTCTGTAGCAGACGAATGCTCTACCCAGCCCTTATATTTCCAGTAAAGATTAGAAAACCAAGGTCTCAGTCCAAATTTGTTTCTAGCTTGTGATCCCCAAAGCCCACAAAAATAATATATTGTCAACATACGAAATCCATCATAGAGATTTCTTGAAAGTCTGGGAGTGTAAAAGTGCTGAAACAGAAAAATCTTCAAGAAGGCCCAACATACATTTGCAGCAAGCGCAGGGAGAGAGGGAACAGGTCCTCGCATGCTTTTAACAACTAGGGACATGGCCAGAAGTGGACTTCCAGAGAATTCCATTCCTACACCAGCCTTCAGTTTCCACAAGTTTTATGTGCCATAACTATTTGATAATCATGAAAAACAAATGAACACACTAAGTGGAACAAGAATTTTAAGACTGTGGTCATTCTACAGAATAACCTTACAGAAGTCCTTCTATCCCAACAGTGTGGAGACTGTCCCCATCGGGAGGGCAATGTCACCAGGTATAAACAGCCAGCCTTTCTTTCTGCCTTTCTGCCCTTCTGAGTTCTAACC